CTTCCATGATAGCTTGAAGGTCAGTGGAGGACATTTGGAGACACTGTGGTGGACATTTTTAAAAATGGTGTGGAGATGGAGGGCGGAGAGTAAGCAGTGGAGGCCAGCCAATGGTAAACGGTGTCACTTTTGTCTTTGAAAAATGACACAAAGTAAATGCCTAGGAATTATAAGAAAAACTACCTACATTTTCAGAGCTCAAATGTATTCGGACAATTTGACACATTCAAAAGGCTTTTTGTTCAGGTGCTACAAATGAAGAAAATAAGGGGAATATGGGAAAAGACAAGTATGGCAATGCTAAGGAAAAGCTCATGGTCCAAAGCATTTAGCATTAAAACGCCCAATTCTCCAAAATGTAATCTGGATCAAAATGATCATGATTTTGAAATTCCATTTTTGATACCCAGGATCACGTAATGTTTTATGCTCCAGTTGCTTAAAGTAACTTGAACTCGATCAGTCTGATCCAGATCCAACCTTTACCAAATTTAGACAAAGAGTGTTCTAATGAATACTTCACATCTAAAAGGGCGGCCGGATGGTCCACTGGAGTTTGCATGTTCTCCCCGGGCCTACGTGGGTTTTCTCCGAGTCTCCGTTTTCCTCCCACATTTCAAAAACATGCATGGCAGGCTGATTGAACACTCGAAATTGTACCGAAGTATGAGTGTGAGCACGGACGGTTGTTTGTGTCTGTGTGCCCTGCAATTGGCTGGCAACCGGTTCGGGGTGTCCCCTGCCTACTGCCCGAAGACAGCTGGGGATAGGCTCCAGCATGGCCACAACCCTTGTGAGGAGAAAACGGATCAGAAAATGGATGGATGGATGGATGGATGGATGGCTGTGTGTGAGTGAGTGAGTGAGTGAGTGAGTGAGTGAGTGATATATATATATACACACACACACACACACACACACACACACACACACACACACACACATTCACACACGCGCACACACATGTACCTGTATATATTTGAGTCTTTGTCATTTAATGGTACATATACATGCAGTTTATACAGTGACATATTTAGTTATTAGGACATTCCAAATCCATCTATTCCATTTGGTCACAGACAGAAAACAGCCACTCTCTCATTTTCTGATTGGCCGTATTCATAAACAAAGAAATTTGCTGAAAGTGGGTTTTAGAAAACACTTGGTTTGGTATGAGTGCTTGAAATATGAGACAATTACGCATTCTAAAGGAAAATATATACATTTAGCAGGCATGACATAAAAAATATAAATGACAAAAAAGACCATTGTTCTCTCAAAAACCCTTATGATCACATGCAAATTCAAAACAAACCCATTTGCTACTGGGACTTCTGTGGAATGGCAGATTTAATATCTCCCTTCGGGCACAATGACTGAATAGAGAACAAAATATATGTATATATTTTATGAACCATGGTTTTTAGAATATTCATGTCAAACTTGCAAGTCATTGATATTCATTTGCTACAGACTCTTGTTACAAATTGAAAATGTCACACTGAAATTTAAAACACCCTGAAAGGCATGTTCATTATTTTCTTATTGAAATGTTGTGGTTCACTGGTTTGGAGAGTCTCGTGCCTCAGGGCTGTATAGCACATCTCACATTTGTTCAAATTCAGATGTTTAATTAAAGTTATTAGGAACCACATTTGTATTACTTCATGAGTAGTGAGTGAATTATATTTGCATTACCTATCAGTAGAGCTTGAAGCATAATGTCAGTTGCATGTTCCACTCTGATAATATTTATGTTGTAATGGTAAACCATTATTTTTGAAATTACAATAAAACTAATCATAATAAAAACTCTAACTATGATAACTGTCAGTTGGGTCAATCAAGACGACCGCAACCTGCACATGTTCCCTTGCTTTTTTTTCCTTAGTTTGCCCCCCCCCCCAATCCCCCATTATTGTTCGAGCAGTGACGACCATGTAGCTCAATGGCCATAGTAAGACTGAAGGAGCCCGTGGGTTATGGAATGTAGCCTCAAACTATGATATCATAATGGTGGTAAAATTGACCTAATTTTCTGTGTGTGTGTGTGTGTGTGTGTGTGTGTGTGTGTGTGTGTGTGTGAGCGAGAGAGGGGGTGGGGGGCAGGCTAGCCGCAGGTGAGTTGATGGACCCAGGTGCCATGGTTGTTAATTCATGCAGTAAGGTACTGCCGTACAGTGCTGGTTGTGTGCCTGCATTTTGGTGTCTAATGGAGCTAAGTGAGGAACATGTGCTGCAGGGAACAAGCCATTTTTCATTACTTTTTGTTTTTGACCTACCGGTAAGTCTGGAATAAGAGGACTGCATACTGACAGTGAGTCTGTGTCTGTGCTGGGGAAGCGTATCTCCAGATGGTGATGAGGAAATGGACACAATGCAACATTTCAGACCATAGAGAGGATGCAAAACATTGCATTGAAGCAGCATGTCATTAGCATCACGGGTCCCAAACCACTGGGCCGCAGATCGGTTCTGAGCCACTGGCCATTTTGCTACATTGATCACCAGCGTCTGATTGAAAATCAGATGTATCCGCTTGTACCTCTTTCAAAACACTCGTCTCTGTCATGTGATATGTGGGAAAAAAAAGCAGTGGCGGGCGGTGAGTTTTGGACCTGGGCCTTCAGTGGGTATTTAAATGACCTAATCCATCACATCACATCACCAAATAATGTAAAAAAAATGCTATTTAACTGTGTGACATGATAGAAGAGACAGAGGCATTTTACCTATTTGAGGGAGAAAGCAAAAAACAGGTACCTTTACCTTCCAATAACATGACATCAAAACAAATCCAAACCTCTACACTACAACAGTTCACCATCAATATTATTAATATAGCAACGAACTCATTAAATATAAATAATAAATACAAATAAAGTACATCACACTCACATGAGATACTGGTACAAAAGCAGTTGAGCTCCTTTCTTTGCTCCTCTGTCTGTTTAAGCTAACTGTGCCACTCATTTATACTGCTCTAAAAGTGTTTTGAAAAATCAGTTTTTGTCTTGAAACACACCAGCCAGCAACAATCTTGGCTGACTTGGAGCCTCATAAAGTCCAGATTTTTTGGAAAAGTGCGCCTGAAGGTGAATCTTTAATCATCGTCCTAATTCGGAAATCAAGCTTCGATGCACATCGAACTCCGCCACTCAGAAGTTTAACATACCCGAATCAATGAGGGAACCAAGGACACTAAAAAAAAATTACCCATCAGTTGGGGCCTTCATGATTCTAAAATCTGAATGGTTAAAAGAAACATCAATTTCAGCGGTGTGTGTGTGTGTGTGTGTGTGTGTGTGTGTGTGTGTGTGTGTGGTCAAGACCTGCACTTGAGATTGAGAAACCATTGGGCAAATGAATATTTGCATGGCAAAACATTGAAGGTGAAATCCGATTGGACAAAACAAAAATAACCCATTTGAGAATGGAAACATGCTTTGAAATGAAGACAAGAGACCGTTGGAAATTATTAAAATTTTTCGCAAGATATCAATGTAGGTCTGTAGTTCTGGTTATGTTTGGGCCAGCAGGGAAGGCCATGGAGTTCTGAGGGCATTCCACTGGAAAAAAGTAAGCACCTAAGCTAGCAAAAATGAAAAAAACAAAAACGAATGTGTTCAAAGAGCTTCTTGAAAAAGGAAAAGGCCAAATGAGAAGACAAAAGAAGAGCTCTCAGCACTATCCCCCTCACAAGCTCTCCCGACAGGCCTCCGCTATCAGATGCTTTCCTGCCCCCGCCCCCCACCCACACTCCTCATATGGTTTCTCTGTGCCTTGCCAATGTCTTTTTTTAATACAGTTCGTTAGAGTGTGTGTGCATGGTGTGTGTGTGTGTGTGTGTGTGTGTGTGTGTGTGTGTGTGTGTGTGTGTGTGTGTGTGTGTGAGAGAGAGAGAGAGAGCAAATGGCATGCTTGTGGGGCTAAGTATCTGTGTATGATGTAATTTTGAGGTCTTAATTGCACAGCACTTTGGGTTGCATTTTTGTGTATGAAAAGTGCTATAAAAAGAAAGTTTGATGGATTGATTGATTGATATAACCGATCCGACAGTTGAATGCTCAGTCGCAATCTTCTCAACGTTTTCAGAAATATCAGAAAACGTGTCATTAGCAAAACACAGAACCTCTTGAGTGCTTTCTGTTACATAAACACTCGATGCCAAATAAGGCTTTATCGGCTAGAATCAGTGTTTGTGGCCAAATAGCTGATTTCATTTGCTGAGAGGGTCCACTTTCATACCTTTCATTGGTGCTGTGATCCACTGAAGCCTGCTGGTCAGATGACAGTCAGGCAAACCTGTTTCTCATTTCAGTGCCCTTGTTTTGTTTTCATTGTCCATAAGATGGTTTCTTTTTTCCTGCCAGTCCCAAAGTCCAAGACTATTCTAATGAAGACTCCAATAATGCATATGATGCATTTCAATTGACCATCATCTCTTCATACGATTACATTGCCCATTAGCTAAAGTCACCAGCAGGGGTGTGATGGCCATTGGGAAATTCTGGATTTCTACCGACCAATTCATTGGAGACAGATCATGGGTTTGTAATTTATTTATTTATTAACTTACTTATTTTTAGATTGGCCCCAATTCTTATATCATTTCTAATACACACAGCCATCTTTTAACAAAACATAATCATTGCAGACGACTGTTCAACAAATACAGGATGACTGATAAGGTAACCTGCAACACAACAAGCACACCTGGCAAACACAACATATAATTATATAAATCGGGCCTATGTTCTGTTGGGATGCATTAGTTTGAGAGTAACACAAAAAAATATATGTCTGAGTGCAAGGGTGTAATGATTTAGAAAGGTGATGGAACGTGCATATGTATGAGTAAGAGAGAGAGAGAGAGAGAGAGAGAGAGAGAGAGATCTATATTCTTCCTACTCCCTTAGTAGGTGAGGTCAAGTGCAAGTCAGATGTAGCTTTTCGTAATGAATCGTATGAATCTAAAAGCACAATAGAGAAATTCATACCTCATCATAGACACTATCGTTGCGTTCAAAGTCGCCTGCCTTCCTGGGAAGCACATGGACATGGACATGCTGAAAGCAAACAAATAAGAGAAACCAATTGTTAAAGAGCTGTGCTGTGTACAGCGGCAGATATGTTTTTGACAGAGTGTTTCTGTAGTGGCTTGTCATTAATTCACAGAACGTTAGACAAGCAAAACAGTGCTACTCCTTTGCTACAAATCACAGGAGCGTAACCATAAATCCCACCATGCATGCTGTGTGCACACCATAGAGACTCTTTAATCTGACACATTTTAAGGATGTAATTGATTTACTTTCACAACACCGCTCCTATCCAACTGTTTCCGGTGACTATTCCCTTGTTGGCACAAACCTGGCAGCCTTTATGATTAACTGTGATTTGTTTCTCTGCAAGGGTGATATGGTAATGTCCTCAAGACACTCTTTTAATTTACTAAATACTTAGGTTAAGCCCACATGGAGTGTACATGGATAATTTCCAAACATATATCTTCCTACTTCCAGTGTGAAAAAGATCCAAGCACACACAGTGGGATGAAAAAAAACAAAACTCTGCCCAAATGATAACACATCTATTGGCTATCAAGCACATTTCGGGCAATCACACAGTTGAAAAAGCAACTGCAGTGCGAGGCGTTTTTTGATACTTAATTTCTTTAGCCCTTTGAGACGTTACATGTTCATGTACTGACTCGGTACAATGCTTGTCTATAACGAGACTGTGAGACAAAATGAATTCATGTATTGGAGCTCATATTAGGAATTGAATCTGTGAGACTGGCAAGCCACAGTATGATATTTTTTTTGCTGCTCTTAAGAGGCATTGCTGGCGCCATTAAAAGGACTTTTTGGCTCAACAATACGTCGGGGTTCGTCAGCATTCTCATGAGATGAATTGCACTCAATCCTACCATTGTCGAAAAGGAAATTGGCACACACAAGGGATAGTTGTTTTTTAAAAAATATATACGTATGATGAGTGACACACACACACACACACACACACACACACACACACACGGTTTTCCTCATCTCTCAACAAACATTTTTTTTCTGAAGTCGTTACCCCAAACTATACTAAAAGGCCAACGTGAATGTTTTTGTTGAAAAATATCTGTGTGCGGTAATGCTCCATACAAAATAAAGGTCACTTCATAAAAGAAGACCTGAATGAAAGCAGAATGAAGCTAATGTCTAGAAATGAAGAAAACTACAAGTAAATAGTATGACTATGCTGCTGATGACCTGTTTTGAGGTCACGAGATGGCGTAGCACCGAGCATTTCTTTAAATGTTACGTTTCTTTCCTCACAAATAGTCATTTGTTGGCCTTTTGAATTAATAGCTTCCACACCATCGACATTCTCCCTATAGCCACATTTAGTACATTGTGTGAATATGTATAAGATCGAGATTTAATATTTTCTGGTCTTCTGCTTTAATTAGTGGGGGCCTCTTTAATTCAAATCCGCGGGCTGATTTGAGGGCTCTGTACATCCCTGCAAGATGGGGATTTGGTCAGTGTGCTGGCAAAACATCAACTGAGCAGTTCAAATTTATTTGATCACTTGCTTTGTCGTCATGATTTGCACAGCTGATGATTGACAACAGCATTTTTGAAAAGAAATCATTCCACCCATCAGTCAGATTAATTTAGTGAGTTTAATAACATCTGTTCAGTCATTTTACAGAGAAAGGGCATTAAAATACTGTCACTGCCTTGCTAATTTGATGTGTGTTTTGCAATCTTTGTCTGAATAGAAATAACCATAAAAAAATTAACTGAAAGGAAATAATGGATGGGGAAAATATCAAATTAGGTTGAAATAATGAAACCTGAAATCAGTGATTTATCATTAAGAAAGGGTAGACCTCTACAGAACCTTTAAATGTGTTTCAGGATTTAAAGTATATGATAATCTGGTTGTGATTCGCGGTTCTCGCAGAGGATATTTTGAACATCATCTGTCATCTGTCTGATTTACACCCCCAAACGTAATGTGATGGTCTACAGTAATTGTTGGGTTGCTTTTTTTTTTTTTTTGGCGTGTTTATTTATCATCGAAGACATAATAACCTAATTGGCAAGCATTGTTTGTCATTGCTACACGATGATGAATTTGCAAGGCAGGCTGACATAATGTTTAAAAATGTAATAAATAAGACATTGTTGGTATTGCTGGCAGCATCTGCTTTTTCGTGTGAATTTTCTATATAATGAGATCATTTGCATGAAATCTGCATTAATGCATCGGCTTACCTTGAAACAAACGTCTGAAGCAGAAAAAGTGATTTATCTCAGATGCTTCCTTTACGTGCATGAATGAAGTGGTGAATATGTGTGCTAGATTTACACCACATGATTTACATGACACAGTTGCCATTATTATTAGTTTTTTTTCACTCACAAATATAGGATCATTCGAACAATGATACCTGGCAAAATGGAGACCATAGCCACCGAGATTAAATCTTGAGTATTACACATTTTTGCGTGTTTTCCTCTTCATAGAGGCGTTCACTACAAAGAGTATGTCACTTCACGAGAGAAACGCATCCGCCATAAAGTACAAAACACATGACATGTCTTGCCACATTACACAATGCGGCACTGTGAAAATGTGCAGGACTCTCGCATGCAAGCATTGACATATTCATTGCCGATACACCTGCATACAGAGCCTTGTTTTCAGTAACACAGCGATTGGCTGTTGCAGATCAGACTGGCCATCAATCAAATAATTATGACATCACTGTTTCTTTGTATTTTTAATGTCTTGGTGATAACTAGCTCAACATTAGTATTTCACAACACAAAAATTGTTATTATGATAAAATAAAAGACTGTATTTTCCGCACTATAAGGCGCTTTGGAGTATAAGGCGCACCTTCGATGAATGGCCTATTTTAAGATTGTTTTTGTGTATATGACGCACCACATTACAACTCACATAGAATAGCAGCCACAATAGTGGCTAAAGTTGCGTGATGCATCCACTAAATCAGAATACTGATCCGTATAAAATATGCATCGGATTAGAAGGCACACTGTCGGCTTTTGAGAAAATTGAATACTTTTAGGGGCGCCTTATTGTGCGGTAAATACGGTATTAATAACAATAACAAAAACGTTACTTTTAGAAATCCTAGCCATCAGCCTGGTGGGCGGTACCGAGAAACAGAACACAGCCAGCTTTCTGAACTAGCTGGATTGATCGTTAGGGAAATAGATGTCCATAGGAAATTGATATTCTCTGACTGTACACCAAGTGGCAGTGTTGCTATAAAAATAGTGTTGGGGTGAAATACCCTGTTAAGATAATGCATTGTTTGGCTACACTGTCTGTTATTTTGCCTCCTGACACCAGATACTCAACCTGGTGAGGGACGAAAACCCGCTTCCGTCCTTGCTTAATCTGTCCTTTAAAAAAAAAAACAAAAAAGGAAAAAAACAACTTTTCGTGTATATATATATATATATATATATATATATATATATATATATAAACTGCTCCAAAAAATAAAGGGAACACTGAAACAGCACAGTAAAACTATTTTTTTGAGCAATATAAACATATACATAAAAAACGGGTGGTGGTCAACTGGTTAGTGCGTTGGCTGCACAGTGCAGAGGTACAGGGTTCGATTCTGCCCTTCCTTTGTGGCATATGCATATTCTCCTTGTGCCTGTGAGTGTTTTGTGAGGGTAATCCGGTTTCCTCCCACATTCCAAAAACATTGATAGCAGGTTAATGGATCACTCTAAATTGTCCTTAGGTGTGAGTGTGGATGGTTGTTCGTCTGTGTGTTCCCTGCGATTGGCTGGCAACCAGTTCAAGGTGTCCCCCGCCTACTGCCCAAGGACAGCTGGGATAGGCTCCAGCACCTTCCACGACCCTTGTGAGGATAAGGGGATCCGACAATGGATGGATGGATGGATGATTTGGCAATCATTGTATTCTGTTTTTATTTTTGTTTCACACAACGTACAAACTTCCTTGGAATTGGATTTGTATATGAGTCACCGACAAGGACGCCAGAGTCTTGATTGAGCCTGATGAGGTCCAGTCATTTTTCAAACACAGTTGGCCAAGGGAGCCACAGTGCCAGATGGCATTTCTGGATTTCTTCTAAAAATCTGTGCGGAGGAGTTGACACCTGCACCGTGTCCTCCCTTTCAAAATCTGTAGATCAGCACAGCATCTGCACGTGCTGGAAGAAATCAGTTATAATTGCGGGATCCACAAAACTCTGTCCAAAGGAAAATATTGATATTCGCCCTGTTGCGCTAACATCAAATACAATCAAATGTTTTGAGAAGATATTGGCGTCTTAGTGTCAAATAAAATCAAATTTTTTGAGACAATATTGGTGTCCTCACTCAAGAAGGAGGTCGACTCACTGCTCGATCCTTTTCAGTTTGCCGATAAGCAGGGGAGTAACACAGACTATGTTATTAATACTATTACTTATCTGGTCACCAACCATGTGGAAGACATGTTTGGCATCTCGATTTTAGCTCAGCGTTTAATACGCTGCAGCCGCGTTTACTGAGGGAGAAACTGAAGAACAGGCATGTTAATCGCTGCATTCTGAAATGGTTCACGTCCTTTCTAACTAACCGTGTGCAGCATGTCAGAGTTAACGGTGTCCTCTCAGAGTTCAGACTCTCCGGCAGTGGTTATCGACATGGATGTGTCAGTTCCCCCTGTGCCCTCTCACATTATAAACCAACAATTGTATAAAGGTCCACCCTGATAACTATCTCATCAAATTTTCAGATGGCACTGCCATCTTGGGCTTTCTGCACAAAGATGAGAGTTCAGCATCTTACCATTCTGAGATCTGTAACTTTGCTCAGTGATGTGACTCTATCTGATGCAGATGTAAAGCAAACGGAAGAAATGGTGTTCAATCTTAAAGCTGTGAATGACTTGAGGGCCGGGGGCTCATCCACAATGAACCCATCACTGCTTGATACCTTATGCAGCCTGTCTTTGGTCTCAAGGCAGTTAAATGTTTAATCTCCCTTCCTGACTTCACTTTTTGATCGATATTTTTTACCACGGGTGGACCTTTGCCAAAGACCCCAAAATCATACAGCTTAGCGCAGTGATTCTAAAGTGGTGGGTTGTGGATCTATTTTGGGTGGGTCGAGGACAGATAGTAAAAAAAATATATATGTATTTGTACTCACATGTTTATTTATTTATTTGTGTGTGTGTGTGTGTGTGTGTGTGTGTGTGTATACAGTACAGAGGTGTACCAAATTCCCAGATGGAAAATATTAGGGAACCGACAAGAAATGTTGCTAACTTGTGCACACACAAACCATCAGACAGCACACAGTACCCAACACAAAAACAAATGCAAGAGCAAGAAGTTGCCGTCACAAAAACGGTACAAAGTTGAAGACAGAGATTTTGGAGTTGTTTAAGTCAACAAAGAGAGAGTTCCTCTTACATGCAATGCTTGAACTTCCACGGTGATCACACAAAAATCAAAAGTTGCACAGAAATAGGTGTAGAGTGAAACGAAACTATCTGTGGTTGTTTCTTTGGTTAAGACGACTATTTAAGTGGTGTATGATGGCATACTTACTGTATATTATGTACCACAAAAAGCATCAAAGTTCGGTTTAATGTGAACCTTGCCACTATTTAGAATATAACTCTAAATAATTCATCAATGCCAAGAGTTTGGAACTGGAAATGAAATACAATGGTTATTTAATGGTGTAGAACTATTGCAGAATCCTCATGACATATTAAAAAGTTGTGAAATATTTATTTCTCACCTTCACAGTTTGTCCGGCTTCAGGACCATCCTAGAGGGAACATAAAGATGTCATTAGAAAAGATTCAGAAATTCTGAAGTATTTCAAGGTGCCCTTCCCTCATAATCCATTTCCCACCACTGTTTTATGCATGCCACATGTCAAAATGTGTCTCTGACACATAAGGGTGACATTTGTGCAGTTTGTGGATTAGATACAATAGTCCAAAAAAAGGCAAAAGGCTTGCAAAATGCTCATACTTGAATTCAGCGCTGCTGTGATGCAGGATAATGACTCATTATCAGGGGTGCACATAAGCGGTGCGTGGTTGCCCCTATGCGCACCGAAAACATTAAATTGCGGAGCAGATACAAGACTGTCACTGCTAAACCAATCAACTACATTGCGGTCAGGCCGGCCTCAATTTGAAGTGATGGTAGCCGCCACAAAGATTGCTTCCGAGGGCCAACTTCCAAATATAATCAAAGTCAAGCATTGATATCCATGTACCATATGACTGGTTTCATTTTTATTTTGAAGTTGACCCTCAAGGTACCTTGCATAGGAGCCTAGGAATAACCATTGTGGCAGCTGGCTTGACTACGCTGACCCCCCCACTAACTGCTACATTCACCGTGAGACGGTCAGTAGGAGGGCTGCCAGTGAGATAGTTATCTCCATGTCGCTGCGCTGCGACCTTGACACTCCATCCAAATATGTCTTCACACAAAAGTGGTGCGCGGTGTAAAAAAAGAGTGATCACAAAGGATGAGCTGCCAGTGAGATAGTTATCTCCATGTCGCTGCGCGGTGCAAAAAAAGAGTGATCACAGAGGATGGCTGCCATTTTTCGAAAAGGCCATGCAACTCAATTGTGTTAAATATAAATTGTGGAAACATAATTTATAAAACAATGAAGCTGAGCAATGTTATTTCTAAATGTTTCTGAATGCATCACATCAATCACGGGACAAGGTGTGGAGAGAGCAGATGCTATGCTACTGAGAGAGGAGTTGAGCCGATGTCAGACGTGTCACAGACAAACGTAGTGTCTCGTAGCCGACTTTGAATTGTCTTGATGCGTCGCAGACCGTGTAGTGTGACACACGAAATGTTTGGTCGCGAGGTGTCTGGAAGTTTTCACGACAAAGAATGGCTGGCATGTCAGAATTTTTGTTCATCTTGCCGCATAGTGTGACATGTTTTGATTGGTTCTTCAGCAATGACCAATAGGAAGACAGTGCCCTCGTACTTATGATGAGAAACTGGACATGGCGCACACCATCACAATGTGGTCTACAGCATGTAACAAGTGACTTGAACTTGTTGGGGGTTGGGGGGGATAGACAGTCCATACCCCCCATCCCCCAACCCAGGAATGGGTTCATATTCTTTTTTTTTTTTTTTTTTGCCTTTTCTGAACATAGGAATAATGCATATACACATAGCGCCTCGGTTGACATGGCTTTGACAGCTGCTTGTCCCGCCTCCCCGACAGGCCTGCGCTGATGGACTGAATCTTGACGAATGCATGCAACGACTGAGAACGGTCTGCTCATTGACGGCCTTGTCGTGTGTCATCTCACCCGGTCCAAGATGCAGAATGATATTTATCTGGTAGTCTGACGACAAAAACAGCGCTGCAATTTGACAAGGCCATTAGTCCATGTGTACGCTTTGCCTCAGGCTGTTGTTGCTCTGCCTCAGCGTAGGCTACGGGCCACAGTAGCCGTGTTTTTGATTTATTCTAAAGGGTGAGATAAACAACTAACGTCTGATGTATTAGACGGTGCACATAGGAGGTGTCCTCAAAATGACGTCATGAAAGGGGAGAAGCAGTAACATGGGGAGAGGCGGTGTTTACTGAATGTAGTATCTTACTTCTGGGTTAGAAAAATAGTGAAAATAACTCCAACTTCATCAGAAATTAGATCACTACTGTGCCAAAGGTACGATGTAATCATATCAATATATACATCAATAGTTCACTGTGGAAAGCTTGAATTGCATGACATGACTCTTTAATAAGCTGTCATTGTGTAGCCCTGGTATTTGATGTTGTAGAACGGAAATAAAACTGAGGGAAAAAGTCCCACACTCCAAAAGGGCCCAACATAACTTTGTTTTCAGCTTGTCAGCGTCCCTCGCCGCTGGCGTCCACCAACGGGTTCATCGATTACTGCCACGATAGGTACCGATCACCTTATGGACACAGCTCCACTCGGCCACCTCAATAATTCAAGTGAAGAATTTGGTCCACTCTTCCCCAATACGTGGGCAAAGTTCTGCCAGACGTGGCACTTGAAGATCCTGACAGGGGAATCTGCAAGACATTCCCAACAGACCCTTACAATATGTTTGAGTCTGCCAGGTTGGAGCGGCATCTTCCCTGATTATCGGAGAAAACACACCATTAGGTGGTGATCGGTTGATAGCTTCTCTCCATTTTCACGTGAGTGTCGCAAGATATGCAGCCGTAAGTCACATGAAAGAACCACAAAGTCCGTCTTTGAACTGTGTTTTTCCTTGCTTGGTCAAGGCCACATGGGCCCCCAGTAGACCCAGACCCAGATGAAATGTGCCTGATAGTGTGCGCCTGGTCGCCAGGCCTGCAAAAATGTGATGCAGCCGGCACATCTGGGAATGATTCGGCTTGTCCAAAAGGAACAGCATGTCTCTCTTTGCCTCGTCCTCATCAATACTGATTAATTGTCTTATCATAAACACATTGGCTGCGAATGGGGATAGCTGGCCAGGAGCTAGCTGGAGCTTAACGGCGGCTACATCGTCATCGCGTAAAGTGAGAGCCACCTCCTACACCACCAACACAAGTCTTTCGCCTCTCTCAGAAGGCAATGCTGATAAATGTTAATTACTGTATAAGGTTTTATAATTAAAGATTTAAGTAAATATGTGTACTGCTGTAGTCTTTGTCTCAAATATGGAAAGTATAATCATTCATTCATTTTCCAAACCGCTTTATCCTCATAGGGTCGCGGGGGGTGCTGGAGCCCCCTATCCCAACTGTCTTTGGGCAGTAGGCGGGGGACACCCTGAACCGGTTGCCATCCAATTGCAGAGCACACAGACGCGAACAACCATTCGCACTCACACCTCGGGACAATTTGGAGTGTTCAATCAGCCTGCCATGCATGTTCTTGGAATGTGGGAGGAAACCGGAGGACCCGGAGAAAACCCACGCAAGCACGGGGAGAACATGCAAATTCCACACAGGAAGGCCGGAGCTGGAATGGTGAAGTTGACACGCTAACCAGTCGACTACCGACCATTAACCGTGATAAGTGAGGGAACACTGTATCAACTTTCTAACCAGTTAAACTAGTCCCTGCATTGCGTGTTCACGTTCTCACGTCCTTGTTGACAAATGCTGCAATACTTCTAATTTCAATCATTTGTATTGCATTCAAGGGTGATGCTCAGCAGTGGGAACATCAATTAAAGCTTTAGAATTTGAAACCTATCCTGATAAGGTCCTTGGTTTCAAAACTTGGTGTGGGGGTGGTTGTTATGTTGGTTAGCCCCACTATTTTCTAAGAGTACAGAACAACTCAATGACTGGCACATTTTCAGAAATAGGAACATGGAAGCTTTACTTTCTTGTTTAACTTTCACATTCAATAGATGGGCAGGTATCTCAGACACCAACTATTTGTATACAAACACTATTATTCATTTTTGTAGAATATGTCCCTGTTAATAAGTCATGAACATGCTCTTCTAATACAGTACAACATTGTAACCCTTTGAAATAATTAAACATGACTAAACTGTTTTATTTGCTACAAAAATCAAGCACTCAATTTTGTTCATAGTAATCATTAAATGCAGATGTTAGTGAATGAATAAATACATCAGATGAGGTTTAATAATCTTGTCCCTGCACTGATTAGAGAACAAAAAAAAAAAAAAAAAATCTCTTCTGTTGCCCAAAACGTTTTCTTCTTATCATCAACCCTAGATGAGTTGTGTCACACTATTTTTCACGGGAATGGCACACTGATGAGAAAAATGGATATCTCCTGCAGAGAGTAGTACTTTAATGTGGTGTCTGGGAAAAAAAAAGGGAGCTGTCATGAGTTAATCTTACAATCTTAATCTCAGTGATCAATTTCCCAGTCAAAGAAAGTGACATCAAGGTAAAGGTTGCTCTTTGCTGGGTTTTTTTTTCCCTCTGGTTTTCTTGCCAACCTGTGAAACAATTTTGTCTGAGGGGCCCACAGTGCAGGTAAGGTGCTATTTTCATATTAGCATATATATCACCCGTTATGCAAAAAGGGCTTTTCAATCTGAGGTGAGAGCCTGTCTGTAAAACGTTCGTAGGTGTCAGAGATGGCCCTGAATTCCATGTCTCTCCTCTCGTGTTGACTGTTTGACACAAGAGTGGATCAAGGTGTAAAATGTTGATGTAATGAAAGTACAGTTTGATACAATTTGTTTTTTGACTTTAAATGATGACTATGTTTTGAAAATCTATTGCTTTGGCTTTTTAAAACAAAAGTCCATATAATTATAGACATATACTATACAATAATGGAAAAAAAGGTTGGTTGTCATTGGAACATTCACAAATTAGACATCATCATCATTTAAAAAGGTGTCAAGGTGTGTGCACAGCACAAACAAAAATCTATAGGCATGGTCAGAACGTAATATGGATTCAACCAATCATAACATTCAAGGCCGCTTCCACTTGTTTTACACAATGCTTATGGAGTTAGTGGCAATAGGCTTCGAAAATAGCAGATTGCTGAATGCAACCATTTCTAAACAAATATGTCAACATTGCAAAGAACCATTGAAGGCATTTCACCCTAATACTTCCAGTGACTGTAGTAATTTCTATTTAATTAGGAAATCAGAGTTGAACATTTGAATCCAGAAAATCATGACATGTTTAATCCTGTGTCACAAAAGCGAAAATAATGTTGTTGGTGTTTTTACCTGAATGGCAATGGTGAGAGATGTGGCGTTGAAATGCTTTTCCACCAGGTTGGCAACTCTCTGGGTAGCGCTGAATAAATCTGTCACTTCATCTGGTCGAAGATCTCGAAAACGCTCCACTTGTCTCAGTGGGCAAACCAATACATCTGAAAAGGTTCTGTTAAGGAAGTTTGGAATTACAGAAAAAGTCACAGACTCTTAATATTTTGTATTTATTCATTTGCCAGCCCTTGGCAAGTTTTGAGCACAAAATACTCCATCCATCCATTTATTTTCTCATCCATTTAGCGTCATGAAGGTCACGGGCATTCATGAGGCTCTCCCAGCTGTCTTTGGGCAGTAGGCAGGGTACACCCTGAGCTGGTCGCCAGCCAATCGCAGGGCACGACACTCATGAAAATGCAACACTTTCCTGGTGGCAGGGAATACCTTGACTCAATGGCTAATGTCAATAAAGTTATTATCGGGCAGTGGCTATTGGCGGGTCACTGAAATGTAACCTCACAATCTCATGACATTCAAGTTTCTGCAAATAGAGGACACGGATGAGGACACAAAAATACAAGAATGAATGTTTAATACTTAAAATAGGTGGAGTCATAGGAACTAGATCTGGAGGGCTGGCACAAAACACCAAACAGGACAGAAATTAATTGCAAATGGGTTCCTCCATCGGGTTAATTCTGAAGCAGATCTTTTTTCATCTATGTGAGTTGAAGATCATCATCAAAAATGAGTGTAACATAATTCGTTTGTGTAAAAGCATGGCAAACATGCACACACATACTGTATTTAACTTTGCATTCCTGCATGTAACCTTGAAATTAGGTCTAAATATTTTAGGCAGAAGTGCTGCATTTGCAAGAATTCGCAGGTGGGTTGTCATTTTATGGTCGCTTTAACTTGAGAGCAGGGTTTACTTTTGTGTGTGACAGCTAATTTCATAACTTCGCCTCAATCCTACCTGAGATTGCGTTAAAAACTGCAGTCCTGTTTTTGTTTTAACTCCTCACTTAAAAAAAATAAAAATAAGCATCCAAGCAAAAAGTTGTTAGATTAGATTAGATTAGATATCCTTTATTTGTCCCACACTGGGGAAATTTACAGCCTTCAGCAGCAAGATTGTGGGTAGAAAGAAGAGAAAAGAAAACACTGTTCAATTAAGTGCAATATAAATACAAACATGGATAAGGTCAATAATTAAGTGCAATATAATACAATAGTCACAGTACTATTCACATATGTTGTCATATCATTTAAATAATTCTATGATTTATTTATTTATTCATTTTTTTATTCAGCAGCCTGACAGCAGTCGGTAGGAACGAGCGGCGGTATCTCTCCGTCTTGCAACGCGGGTGTAACAGTCTCTGACTGAAGGAGCTACCGAGTGCTGTCAGGGCTGGCTGGAGGGGGTGGGAGGGACTGTCCAACATAGCTTCTAGCTTAGCTAGCATCCTGCTGTTGCCCACCTCCTCCAGAGTGTCGAGGGAGCAGCCCAGGACAGAAGCTCTGACCTTTCCTAATCAGGGTGTCCGTGTTCGTCGACCAGTCCAGTTTGTTGTTGAGAAGAACACCCAGGTACTTGTAGGAGGTCACCCTCTCTATGTCCATACCCTGGATGTTCATCAGTGCTGGTGAGGACTGTTGCCTGCAGAAATCCACAACCAACTCCTTAGTTTTCCTAGGGTTGATCTGGAGTTGATTCTGCTGGCACCAGTCCACAAAGTCCTTCGTCAGTCGCTTGTACTCCCGATCGTCCCCCTCTGTAATGAGGCCAACAATCGCAGAGTCATCGGAGAACTTCTGAAGGTGGCAGTTTGGAGTGGCATGTTCCTCATGTTTTTGAGATTGTTTGGTGAAAATTGCAGCTGTCTATGAGCGTGGCATGAATGCGCGGCTGCAATGGGGAAATGCCAGTATTTTAACTAAAGGTAATGTCTCACACCACATATTAAAAAAAATAAATAAATAAAATAAAATAAAATAAAATAAATAAAATAAATGTTCATTTTTGGAGCAGTGAACTTTATTCAAAACGTTGAATTATGAGCTACATCTAAAGTAGTTCGTTTTAAAATTCGTTTTAAAATGTGGAAACTGAACTTTGAACTATAGTTCCCAAAGAAAATCTACTTTTCCAATACTGGTGCCATCATTGTGGCCAAAGCATACGCCATCGAAAGGCCACTGAGTGGAAACAACCCAAAATTTGACATTATCGGTGGAAAATGCAATTCGTTTGAGAGCCAATGTATTTATATTTTCAAAATTAATGTTACTATATTTTGTTTACTCTGTGTAATGCATCCATTCATCCATTTTCTGAACCGCTTTATCCTCACAAAGGTTGCGGGGGTGCTGGAGCCTATCCCAGCCGTCTTCGGGCAGTAGGTGGGGGTCACCCTGAACTGGTTGCCAGCCAATTGCAAGGCACACACGGACGAACAACCATCCGGGCTCAAACTCACACCTAGGGTCAATTTAGAATGTTCAATCTGCCTGCCATGCATGTTTTTGGAATGTGGGAGGAAACCAGAGTACCCGGAGAAAACCCACGCAGGCGCGGGGAGAAAATGCAAACTCCACACAGGAAGGCCGGAACCAGAACCGAACCCATGACCTCTGCACTGTGAGGTCGACGCGCAAACCACTGGTCCACCGGGTAGCCCAAACCCACGCAGGCACGGGGAGAACATGCAAATTCCACAAAGAAGGTCGGAGCCGGATCGAAGCCACGACACCTCTGCACTGTGAGGTCAACGCGCTAACCAGTCGATCTGTGTAATCCCTCAAGTGGAAATTCAACCCACACTCACAGTCCAATGCAGAGTACAGTATATATTGTGTCTCACACCAAACATGCAACCAGTTTACACACACATGCATCCGTGCAAGGAGAAACACGAAAGACTGAAAGAGACACGCAAACAGTGCTGCATCATTTGAGCTGGGGGCGTTTGGACAATGCCTTGCTCAAGGGCACATCAACAAGAGCCAGTCAGCAGATTAATTCTCTCTCCAAAAACGAGTTGCTCTGATTTACATTTTTGTCCAGAGCGGGACTCGAGTCTTGCAAATGATTTACTGATGCCCCAGTGGGGTCAGAATACAGATACTAAAAAGAGACAAAGACAAAATCATGTTACGGGTGAGAAAAACAAAGGAAAACTGAAGTTCACTCCACCTAAGAAAAAGCATCATGTTTTCAGATGATCAAATCTTAGCATTTCATGCCACAGTGGCCTCATCTGCGAGCACTTCAACCCAAGAGCTACTTCCACAAATGATCAAATGTTTTCTTTGTGCACTTGTCTGTGCGTGTGAGTAGATTTACGACTTCTCCAATAGGGAGAAAATCATGTCACATGGGTTGCTATCTTAATTTCTTCTGCCTCCCTCTGGTGACGGAAGTCGGTGACTTGAAAGATGAGATGTGGCGAGGATTGCGAAGCACAGAGGCAGTAGGCAAGCTATTGTTTTCTTTGTCTTACGGGATCCATAATATTTTTCGACAAACATTACATGATCTCTTGAATACCATGCTGGATCTGAAGCATTGATCTTGTAGTATATGTGGTATATGTCTCAACTTGTTATTTCTGTCTGCGCAATAAAGCCCTTTTCACACTGCACTTGGTTTTTATGGTGCTCATAGCAGGATACGACGCAGTATGGTGCAAGGGCAAAGGCCTCTTGGTGCAAGCCTGTCAATATTTATTGCTAAGATATAGAAGAGATAGTAGCCTGGTGCTCTTTTTTCTGCTGCTTTAGTCGTAATTACAACAAGAAGTACAACAAGAAGTGCTTTGCTCATAATATGGGCAGGGGTGTACGCAGGTCCGGCTAACATGACAATGGCCCCAGTCATCTACCTGGAAGGGGGATACAAGAATCCAATCAACATAAATCTAATTAGGTGCACATATGTTGGAGATCAGTCATAGATTAACCCTTTCATGCACCCACCCTGTAACCTGGTAACATGATAAGCTGTCCACTGTAGTAAGCGCTGTCCGTGAAAAGGTTAACATGTATGTTGAAGGGCCATCCTGCAGGGATAAAGCGGTCATATACTTTGAGAAAGGTCTTTTCTCACCCCACCCCTCACTTTCTGTCCATGAAATACTTCGGGTCACGTGGAACGGATGCCAACTTGAGCTGCATATGTAACCTCAGGTCTTGTGCTTTCTATTCGGTCGGGTTTTGAGCTGACTTTTACCTCAGTGCACTGTGCTCCCAAACCTGATTTGCGATCCCTGAGTTGGATGGACACTGCGACATTATTCAAAACAAAACAACAAAAACAAAAAACATTACCGCATCTTGACCCCTTGACCACCCCCCATCTTTGATTTGTCTCGAGGGCTGTCCAATTTCTTCTTTTTAACTTTTGTTGTTCACCAGAGTCCAAAAATCCAGCCAAGAAAATTCTCAGTGCGACAGAGCTGTGCGGCAGTGGCCGTCAGACTGCTTGCGCATGAGTGTGCGTGACTGCATGCGTGTCCACGGGAAAATGACTGACTATTGGGCCACGCCTTCTGCCTCTACAGTCTCTGATGGGCCATGTTTGTAGCACCATAACAAGCTCATGAATAACAATCAATAATTAAGACAGAGGATTAAGATAAAGCCAGAGATGGATCATTTTTCAAAGGATCATTTTAATAGCCCTGTTCACACGGCACACATTTGGTCCGACGCTGCACCGAAATATTTTGTTGCGATGTATTTTACACCGGAGCAAATTTTGTGGAGCGTTCACACGTGCAAAGCCGCTGAGCGTGACAACTCCGGCGCAGCGTCGAAGCAGCTCCCTTGCGGTCACACGTGCACTTTCTGCTCCGGACCAAAACGACAGGAATGCGGAAGTAAAACAGGTTCGGGTCGGGCTTCTCTCTCGCGGACTTTTATTTATTTTTCTTTTAATAAATATTATGGTGGACACTATTCTGTCCTTGTTCAGAATAGATCCACTTGTCGGCAGTCGTGGAATAAAGACGTGTTTACAGTCAATCGTGTGTGCTCCTTATGACTGCCACAATATATGTTTTAAAAAATGTATACTAAAACAATGTGCGGATACTAAACTAAGGAATACTTGTTTTAAAACAAACAATTTGGATAAAACAGAGAATGCGATGTA